TCACGTGAAAAATGGTGACATTACGCTAAGGCACACAGTAGTCTACTGCGCATTTAAGCATCACTAAGAAAGCATGGAAATGCACTACTGTGCAGTAGCACAGTCTAATGCACATTAATTTAGTACCTCATATTGGAGGTACTAAATTTAATGCACATTAGGAAAGGTGCACTAATGCACATGTAGACGTGCCCAGTGTGGCAGCTTCTTTAGTTTCAAACCTCTTGGATTTGCACACATTCCTGACTTTCACTTTCAGTTTTAGGTTCAACCCAATGACTCATCTGCAAAACTCAGGCAAAGCCAGTGAGTTTCACCTGGATTCATCTGAAAGAACAAATTCCTCCAAATATTATAAATGCCAGGGGGTTGCCTACAGCTCTTGCTTGAAATGCAGCAAGGTCAACTACATATAGGTTCATGGGTTTTGCAACAGCTACATGTCTCAGCTCAGCTACAAAGGCCATTCATCTCCTCTGGTTTTATCCATCAAATGGCAGAGATGATGCCCTTATCCAGGGGAGGATTCATGCCGGGACAGGGGAAAGGATGCTGACTCATCCACCCAATCATGAAAGGTGCCAGGCTTTCTGCATTAAACGTGGAAGCAGTTGGTGGACAGACGGTTTCAAAACAGGTTGCTACATTGTGAGTTGGCTTTTAGCCTATGTTCCAGTCTGCAAATCTTGTGCATTCCCTGGAGCTTTTGCAAAAATGTCTCATTGCATGAAGCCTTGACCTACAGCTGTGTAGGCTGCCCATTTTGTTTTCTCCACTCATTGTTAGTAAAACCCCTTAGGAAGATGAGAAGAGACAGGAAGAAAAAACATTTCTTTAATAATTGACTTCTTTAATAATAATAAAAAGTTCACTCAGAGGCAGCAGTTTAGCGCAATGCTATTAGGCAGGTCAGAGCGATGTGTTTTCAAGGTGTCCTGTTATTGTGCTGTCCCGAGATATTACATTTTCTTGCCAGACAGATTATTTCGTGCCTGCTTATATCACCTACTGCAAAAGTATGAAGAGAGCAGAAGATAAAGTCAACCTACTCCTGTTTCTTCCCTCTCATCCGTTGGTTTGATCAAAAGAATTTGACTTGGTGTCAGATTCTTATTAAAAGTAATAAGTGAAACAGCCTCATCTGGGAACCGGTCATAGGAGAGAGAGAGCCAGTGACTTTCAGGTGGCTGATTCATCTCTGATCATAACAGACTGTAAGTGGTTACCATTTGCCGACTGTTGAGTGAGCAACAGCATGTGCAACGAGTCCCTCCAGTTCTCAGGGGCAAGCGTGCACAACAAAAAAGGTGCGGCTCGTGGCAGGGGTTAATAACCTAATAAAGTATCTCTGCAAAGAAGCCAAAGCCCAGAAATACACAGGCTAAGCAGCGGTTCATCCGTAGAGGTGCACAGTTGTTAATTCTCATAAAAGTAATGAAAAGTTTCACTTTTTGCGGGGGTGTATTTCTTTAAAGGCTCAGTTCCTGGAAGCGAGAGATTTCAGGAAAATGCCGGCATTTCTTTTTTTTTCAAAAAATGTACATATCTAGTAGAGGGAAGCTCTAAACCACGACCTTGGAGGCTCAGCAATCAGAAGGCAAACAAAAAGGAGCCCTCCGTTTATTTTCTTTTTAATGTTATTATGTTTAAGCCAGCTTCGTGGTTTCTGAATGCTGGAGGTTGATCCTGCTGGAGATGGCTGCTGCCCATCAGGGCTGGAGAAGATTGGCAGCGCGGGGGGGAACTTCAGTACTACCGTTCAAGTGGTGCCTGCTGTGTGGATAAATAGACAGCTCTCCGCTCGGGATCGTCCACCACCACCACCAAGGTTATTCAGGGCCACACACATGCACCCAAAGCCACACACTTGAAGTGTTCGCTCCCACGTAGAAAAATAAATATGGTGTAGGATACATACCAGCCTCTGCAATAACCTGCCTTGTCTTGGGACTCTGCGTGCCACCTGCAAAGGGTTAAGGGAACATTGTAACTCAGCCCATGCCGTTTTAAGTTCCTGAAAGGAAGATTTGTCGTTTGTTTAACTACGCCGTGGAGTCCGTCCAGGCTTGGGTTAGTGATGGATGTTGTACAGTCGGGGTTAAGTGATCCCTTTGTTAAATTTAAACTTAAAAGTACACATCTATTAACAGAGCTGCAGATCAAAGCTGTGGAATGGAATTTGGCTTTTGCCGGCTCAGTGCTGTGTGGGCTGCGCGTTTGAGTGCAGGGTGTCAAATGCTGGGTGTGCTAGGTCTGGACAAGCCAAGGCAAGGACCTGAGTGCTCTCATATTTCATCTTGAATGAGGGCTTCACCCTATGGCACCATTCACCTCGGGATCTCGAACTGTTTCACAGCCAAGAACCACAGAAGTAGTATTATGCCCATTGCATTGCAGGAAAAACTGAGTCTCAAAGCGGCTAGCTGGGGTAACTTGCCATAGTGGCATCAGTTTGACGTCTGACCAATGACTCCTGAAGATCTGCCCCTCGCGACTCTGCGTACAGGTGAAAGCTAATTAACAAAATATTCTGAGAAGCTCTAGCTTTCCATTTAATTCACGGGGGAACAAGGAATGAAACTGTTTAAAAATCAGCTAGGAGGTTGATGGATTAAACAGAGCACCCATTAGTTACAACACAATCACATCTGTTGTATCAGCTGCCACCAGTAGTAATAGCCCCTCTGAGTTAGCATCCGAAATCTGCAGCCAAGAACAAGACATAAAACAAGACATAAAATGTACATCTCTCTTAGTGAGGCCAGGATGATAATAATTAAAATGCTTTCCCTTGATGACTTCAAATCACCCCCAAAAATTCATGCATACCAGGAAATGATTAATGCAAAGAAATCAACTTATTCAGTAAAATATTGGTGAAATTCCAGCTACCGGAGGAATGCAATGACATTCTTACTCAAGCTGTTCTTGTTAGTTTCCACAGAAATAACAGATTTTCTTGCCAAAGAGATGATTGTATGTCTGTTTACACCAAGGCTTGCAAAGAAATTAAACCGTTTCCAGTTCTAGCACATGCAGTATTTGCTCTGCTATTGCTTTGATCAACATCTCGTAAAACTGTCATACAAGAAAAATGGGTCACTGAGATTGAGGATTTAAAAAAAACAAACCAGAGACAAGTTCTGGGATGACATAAATCCTCGTGCTTCAGAACTAATCTATGTAAAAGTGTTAGAAAATGTTGGTACATGATCCCATCCTTTTCTGCTGTAGGATTTCTAGCCCACCCCTTACCGAGGCATGTGGCTTTGGTCACAGTCAGAGATAGGATTTTGGACCTGACGGGCCACTGGTTTTATCCAACAAAGCAATTCCTACATTCTTAATGGAAATCAGACAAAAAAGTCTTCCCTTTCTGAAGAGCTGGTTCAAATGCAACCCATTCTGGTAGCAATTCAAAGATGCTGTCATCTAATAGCTTTGGAGCGGCACACACAGAAAGCTTTTGGTGTTGCCCTCCAGCTCCCAGTGAACAGCTTCTTTCTCAGAAATAATGATCGCTGATACAACTGACAGTAACCAATAGCCTTGTTTTCAGTCTTAGCAGAGGAGCCCAGAACTGAAGGGGCTATGGAGACTGAACTACCAACCAAGAGGTTGTCTCTCCAGGTCACAGCCGGGGAGAGCTGTACTGCTGCCAAGCATGCTGTACCTCTCCCATAGATAAATAAAGCTTTCAGTCACAGCCCAAACTCCCATGATTTCATAGATGTGCGAGATACCATTCCTGGGGGCAATTCACCCCACTGCAGAACACCCACACAAAGCAAATACATCCTGCTTCGCCCCTCGGAGAGACCGAAATGGTGCATAGTTTGTAGCACAAGAGTGGACTCTTCCCTAACTGCCCTCTGCGATACTAAATTAGCATTGCCAAAAATAATGCAGAGAAAAAAAAATCATCTTGGACAGTGGTTGAACAATGACTAGCATGTGCTCTGGGGGCAGGAGCAGACCTGTTTGCTCCGCTACTGTCGCTATAAGGAGAAGCAAATGACTTACAAGGAACAAAGCCCTGAACTCTGTCTTGGATGTCCCATAGATCTGTCTATAGAGAGAGCTCAACTGCCAGAAGTTATGCACCCCACCTCCCGTTCTAGTTATTGTAGCCAACCTCTTTTGGCACGGTGGACAGGCCTGCCTCCAAAGCGGGAAGCAACAGAGCTGTGTCCACATAGCACTGTGCCCGAGCTAATTAGTTCTGCCATTTTAGCATTGCTGATGAGAAGCAGAGCTGGGGACAGCTGGCCTGGGTATAGCACCACGTAATCACGGCAGTGCTGCTTCTGGGTCAGAAAGCAGCCTGTGGCGATCGCCTGACCCAGAAGCAAGTCGAGTCCATTCCCGCAGTGGTAGGAAGCACCATGCTATATCCTCGCAGCAGATGCGGCAGAACTGTGCCTGGCACCAATCCAGGATCAACTTTCCTATTGTGGATGAAAGGTTTATTTCGAGCAGTTCTCCAAAACCTGTGACTTGTCTCAGAAAGGCTGGCTGCTGGTTGCTTACCTCTAGAGTCCCGTACTCCTTTCCTATAGCATCCTGCGTCTTATGTCATAGTCACCTCCTGTAGCTCCATCACTCATGCTCATGCATTGAGGAACAAAGCAGCAATGTGGAAACCTGCTAACTATTCTTTCTTACAGCAGGGACATTGAACGATCAGATTTGGTCTGCTAGATGGAAGCGGCGGGTCCCTGTATTCTGCCTTCAAGCAGGAGTGGGGAGGGAGCCGCTTCACAGGTTCACAGAGAATACCATGCTGGAAACTGGGGTTGGAGTATCGTACTGACCCCCCAGTGTAACTGGCATATGCCCTAAAGCGTGAGACATGGTACTTAAAAGGCACTAAAAGCCTATTTCTTCCCTAGGACTGAAAACAGCTGGAACTTGGAGATTATTAACATTCGTCATGAGGACTCTGTCCCTTTCCCTGCTCTTTTGAGAGAAATAATTGCTTTAAAGATTAATCTTGCAATCAGCACCCATGGAAAAAATCCATTTTAAAGACACGGGCCATGACCCTGCAGAGAGCTATGCATGTGCTTCACCTTATACAGAGGAGGAGCCTCAGAGAGGCTACTTAGCGCTGCTATGCAGAGGCTTAAAAGTTTGTCAAATTAGAGCTTTGCAGATTTATTTATTGATGGGGAGGACAGAGGGAAGCGTGGTAGACCCAAGGAAACATCATTGGGGGCTTGGACCAGATAAGCCTTGAGGTCCCTTCCAGCCCTACCATCCTATTCTCTGCTCCCGTTGCAGGTCTGATACAATGACTCTGCATCAGGGAATTTCTTCCCCCTCTTCAATGATATCAAATATTTGTATCATCATTTACTGGCTGTAGCATGATAGGGGCTGTGCCATGCTAAGACCTGTTGGTGGCTTCTCAGTATTTCACAAACCAATTGCACTTTCAGAGGCAAGGCTTTCCTTGCTTTCTAGCCCCTTCTTCTACAGGAACTCAGTCTTTAACATACTGGCACTTACTTGGGAGGGAGAAAGTGCTATTTATGGGGAACTTAAGGCCAAAGAAATTAAGTGACTTAACCAAGGTCACACAGGAAGTCTGTGGGTAAGCAAGGAATTGAATATATCTCCTAAGTCCCAACATAGGATTTAACCACTGGCTTATCCTTCCTTTTATTTGCAACCATGCTCTTGCCAGTCCTAGACAAAAAAATGGTGCCTTAAAAAAGAAGATAAGTATAAGCCATGCCATGAAACAGTAGAGCCACCATGTTCTGCAAGTATTCAGCATTTGGGGCTCTAAGAACTACAAAGCACTTTGCAAACTGCAAAGCAAGCAGTGCCCTATGATCGTCGCATCTAGCACCAGCGTGAGAAGCAACTGCTTAACATCAAGCATCTGCACCAGAGTTTAGGACAGGGAGAAAAATACTGTATCCAAATTTTAAGTAGTCAAAATTACTCAAAAAAACTGGAATACAGCCAGGAGACAGCAGTTAACTCCCTCACTCTTGCAAAACCGTGCCATGGGTTTTGTAGTTAACACAGCAGGCTGGGACCCTTGGTGGATCTGGCATTCAAGGGCAGAGGATGCCACCTCTAGCATGGTGCCCTCTACCATCATGACAGGGCATTGGGACTTCACTGGCTCAGACTGCCAGCTACTGAACACGTGTCGCTTCGCCCACAGCAAATTGCTCCTTGAACTCACCCATCAAGGGACTGAACTGGTCTGGTGCCACAGAGCGTGGGAGATTGGATAGTGCCAGCCGATGTAGCTATTGGACCAATAAAAGTATCTAACATGGTCCTGTCTCTTGAAGGATATCTACAGCTTTAGAAGGCACCCATTTGAAAACTTGCAAAAGGTGATTTGCCCTGGGGATTTAAGTGCAGTTGGTGGAAAAGGCACTCACGCACAATATTATGGGAAGTAATATCTCATTGAGCAATATTAAAGGGAAAGAAAATCAGCAGAAATATTCTGTGCTTCTTACTGCTCTATGCAACACTATATACACATGGGGCAGTATCTGACCAACAGCTGAACTTTAATTAACACAGCTGGATTACATTATGGGTCACCTGTGAAGCTATGTAAAGCTTGTGAGGCTTTCCAAATAGACCAGGAAAACCAGAGCTCTCCACCTTACAATCACTGCAACCTGAGTGTAGAGTTCAATAATAAAATAGAAACCACAAGCTAGAAAGGAGGGAAGGCAAATTAGGGGAACTCCCAAGGGAAGGGTTTTGACACCAAGATCATCTGTGTCTATTTGTTGCCACGAATGGGAAACACAAAAATCCCTATTATTGCCTTCGTTCACCTGCAAATAGGTGTCACCTTCACCCCTCGTGAAGAAGGTGCTGGGAGTTGCTGTCACCTGTTAGCACTCAGCATTCACCAAAGCAAAAAGCTCCCAGGAGAGTTGCTTTAAATTAGCCCCTTTCTCCCCCCGGCCAATCAGACTAACACGGATACAAGCCAGAAGAAAGAAAAAATATCATTACTGTTTAAAACTTACACGGTCAAAGTAGTTATAATCCAGCATCAGCTTCTCTTCCAGATACCTAGCTAGGATCTCAGAGTCGGGCTGCCCAAAGGAGACTGGGCAGCTGCAGCAAAGCCACAGCAAGAAAAACATGGCTTGAGGGGCAGCAAGGGGGTCCTTCCCCCTGCAAGTGGAAGAAAAGCCCCTCTTGGTGCCGTGGCTGTTGCCTGCAGCTGGCTGGGATGGAGAGAGACTGCAGGAGAAGCTGACAGGAGCTCTCAGCCTGCACCCTCCCTCCCTCGCCTCCTCCCCATCTCCGGACCAGCCCCTTTTCAGACTCTGGGCCAGGACTGGGCTTTCCTCGCTAACATTTCACCACGGAGCAAAAGCAGCTCCTGGAGGCCAGGTCTGACACCCCAGAACGAACACATGCTGCTGAGTTTTTCTGAACCTGAGCCCAGGTCAGGCCCTAGCAGCTCGGCACCCTCCTCTCGTGCTGCTGCAAGCTGCATCTTGAGCCATTCAGAGTTCCTCTGCCTCCCGCAGCCACCCAGTTCACAGGTTTCTTCCACCACCACCAGAAGCTATCTTGGGTGGCAGGACATCTGCCACAGGTGGGCAGCACACAGCCGCCCCATCCAGGGTCCGCACTAATGCACCTGTCTCTGAACTTGCACTAAACACCTACCTGTATAGAGGGCACTCAGGCACTTTAAATGCTCCTTTAGGTGCTGCTGGCTTTTGCAAACCTCCTTCCCCTTGCTTGCTAGACCTGCTTACACCGAGTTTCCATTGGTAAGCTCTGGGGGGCTAAGTTAACTGCTAACAGTCCTAGCGGGTTGGTGATTCTCTTCCACTGGGGTTAGCCCCTATCTCACTTGCAGGGTGGGATCCCATGGGCTGGTTCACATCTCCCCGCACATAGCACGGCGAGGGCCCCTTTCTGCCAAACTATTAAAGTGCCCGATCAGGAAGAAAGAGACCGGGGTTTAAAACCCACATCTGTTCGAGAAGATCTGAACCCAACTTTCCCGCTGCTGGGGTGACTGTTCCCACCTTCAGACATGGGGGATGGGGGGGTGTTTCTGGGAGGAAGGGCCGAGGCTATCTCTTGGTCCTGCCTGTGGATGCTGTTAAACCTCTATTAGGGCAAGGTCACTGGGCTATTGGAGGTGCTACTGGCACTACCACCCCCCTCCCTCACACATGCCTCCACCTCAGCATTTATCCTGGCTAGCTTGGACAGTCCCTGCTCCACATGCTGGCCTCTAAGGACCCCTTCCTCAGTGTTTAAGTATGTTGGGTAGGGAAACGTGGGGGCCAAATGCAGCGCTGTGAGTGCCAAGAGGCAGCAAACTGCCTAAAAATTAGGCCTGCAATGATGGGCTTTGTAGATTTACAGTGAATCTAGCCCAGGGGTGGGCAAAATGCGGCCCAGGGGCCGGATGCAGCCCACCAGGCCATTCTATCCGGCCCACGGGGCTCCTAAAAAATTTAGAAAATTAATATTAATCTGCCCTGGGCTGCCTGTCATGTGGCCCTCGATGACTTGCTGAAACTCAGTAAGTGGCCCTCTGCCCAAAATAATTGCCCGCCCCTGATCTAGCGCCTCAGCTTCCTCACCTCCCATCAGTTCCCCAACCCTGGGAACTGCACCAGACCCTGCCAAGACCCTGCTTCCTCCCTGAAACAGCTAATCCCAAACCTTGCCCCAGCAACAAGAGCCCTGCTTCCCTCCTTCCTGCTCTGCTGGTGGCAAAGAGCCTCTCCCAGTCCCATCCCATCCCATCCCTTTCCCAAATCGTATGTCACTTGGAAAACCAAGCTAATCTCGGCCCCGGCAGAGCTGAGCCCTGCAGGAGGGAGAGCTGTGAACTGACACACCTCTCAGCTGTCTGAAATGTTCCCTGTGCCAGCTGGCATGGACAGGGCATTTCTCTCCAAATGCATTGAACAGCCTTCAGCCTTGCCATTTATTAGTCTAAAATAAGATGAAAACGTTGCCTGGGGTGAGCACAGTTTTGGCATATTGCACAGTAGCACCCAGAGGTCCCAGCAAAGGGCCCAGCCCGGTGTGCTCGGTGCTGTACCCAGGAAGAGACAGGCTGTGCACCCCAAAGCTATTTACAGTGGAAGCAGGCAAGGAGCAGGGGAAAAAAGCATTCTTCCCCTACACCGCAGCCCAGAGAGATTAAGTGACATGCCCAAGGCCTCATGACTTGTGGCAGAGAAGAGAATTGAATCCAGTTTTCCTATGTCTACGCTATGGCGGTAGGAAGTACAGTCCTGCTGCTGAAATAAGCTCCACTGACCAAACCTCACTCCACATATGTTCCCTTTGGGAGTGAGCCCTTGAGGACACCGTGAGGGGGTGCCCTCAAGACCTGAGTCTCTGACTCGCTCCAGAGCAAGCAGCCCAGACACCACCATTACAGCTTCATTTCCAGTGTGATGTGAGGAGTATGGAAGCAGGTAACTGAGGACCATAGGCGACTGGTAGGGGGTGCACAGGGGTGCAGGTGCCCCCCAACGGCCGACACTGATGCTGCCGGTAGGGCTGGTGCCTCCCGGACAGGGTGGGTGGCTTCTGCGGGTGCCCCCCTATATTCAGGAGACACCAGTCAGGCATGCTGGGCACTGAGCAAGACTGAGTACCAGCACAATGCAGACACACCCTAAGTGACTCTGACTCATTCAGTATTTTAATCCTTCTCTTTAAGGGAGGATTTGCAAGTGTTTTGAACTGTTGTCTACCTTTGTGTCCACAGAATGAGGGAAATGGGTTTACATATACTGTATATAAGATAAAGTAGCCTGATTTTTCTCTAGACAGACCCACTGAATTTGCAGACTGTGGTCATTTGGTACCTTCAGACAACACTTCAGAGAATAAAGCAGGAGGCACAGCTATTTGCATGGGAAACTGAATTGCCAATGCAGTTTCCAAAACCCTCTGACTGCACCTGTTTTACTGTCTCTGGACTTATCTGACCTTCATCCATCCTAACGCCTCACAACCATGATAGCTTGTAGCCTCACATCACTGTGTTATACCCTTTATACAGGAAAACTGAGACACAAGTATGATTCAGGTACTTGCCCAGGGTCAAGCAGGGAATCTGTGGCCGAGTGAGAATTAGCCATATCTGCCAAGTCCCAGTCCTAAGCCTTGTGTCTTAGATGACTCTCTCTGGCCCTTTCTAATAAGTGCCTTGTGGAGTGGATCCAGGATAGAGGGAATACCATCTGTTTTCCTCTGCCCCAGCACAAACCATGCAGGGCTATCTGCAGCCCATGGGGTGGGAGGGCAGTGCCTACAAGGAGGAAGCCAAAAAGAAGGTATAAACGTACATCTGATTCTACAGTCACATCAGTGTAAAGGAGAACTAACTCCAGAAACCCTGGTTTCACACCCCTGTACTTTGCCATCCTCATCATTATTATTGATCTGCAGAGTGATATACTTGGGAGCCCCAGACACATCAGCAGGATCCCAATGAGCTCATCCCATTCAAACACTTCTTCAAAAGAGGTTCCCTACCCCAAAGAGCTTACAGCCTAAGATGAAAGACAATAGAGCATGCAGGCAGATGGACGGATGGGGCAATACAAGGAACCAAGGGAGCACTGTGAGTATGACGGGCCATGAGCTCAGCATGCTGGAGGCTTAACCACTGTGATTTTTTTTTTTTTTGGTAGGCATCATAGCAACGGAGAGTTTTAAGGAAAGGTCTGAAAGAAGGCAGAAAAAGTAGTTTATGGATGTTTATAGGGATCCCCTCCCAAAGGGTGAAAAGTAGGGGAAACAAAGACACCTCATTACTTTATTAGGATCACTCTTGATCTGTAGGCAGCATGAGGTGGTAGAAAATAAGGCATAGATGAGGGCTGGCAGTGAGTAGGTTATTGATAACTGCAGACAGTTGAAAATGATGCCAGGATTTATAATGGGATTAGAATACAGCCCACTGTATTCAGGCTCTTAGCTGAAGAATATGAGGCCACACAGCTTAACAAAATATGATTGATATCTGTTTTGAACATTGTTCAAGTGCCAGCAGGGTCTGATGTGAGAACATTAGCCCGAGCGTCCTGCTGTACATGTTTCCAACCCCCACCCTCTCTCCTTTAATGTGTTCTCCTCTTTCTAGGTGCTAACGTGCTTGGCACTGGTCTCGGGATGTCATTAAAGATGGAGATAAGCAATTATTCAGGTCTGCCTGTTCTCATTAGACATGCTGGCTGCTGAGTTAAGCTACGTACCCTTGGCAAAAATCAGCAGGTGTGTTTTGGGTGGGTGCTCGTTTACATTAAATTGCCTGGCATGTCTGCGGCCAGTATGAACAGATATGTTCTGCAAAGGCATGACCCGACAATTTAGCCTCTACAGTCTATGCGCTTTTCACCTGGGACCGATCCTCTTATTTCAGTGGAACTAGCCATGTATATCTATGGATTTATTCTGCTATGCAACTGTGTAGGCAGAATTGCCCCCCTTCGTTTTTCATTATGCTGGTTAACTGATCGCTTGGGTGCGTGGAAGTCGATGTTAAATCAGGCCATGGATTTCTTATGTAGCACCTTTCAGCCAGAAGAACCAGAAAGTGCATGACAGTCTTTAAATCTCATGCAGCCTCCCGTTCATTGTGATCAACGGGAGCTCCACATGCAAAGAGCTATGTCCATATATGTATACTGCTTACACAGACGTGCACACTCACACCCACACACGTATATGTATGGGGAAGAGCGTTCTAATACAGTAGATAAGACCCTTGTCTAGGACGGAGGTAGTCTGTGTTTAAACCAGTCTTTGGTATAGACCAGGGGTGCTCAACTCCCGGCTTGTGGGCCAGATCTAGCCCACGGGGCTCTTCACAGGCCCAGCAATTTGGCAGTGGGGGAGTGATGGCAGCATTAATTGTTGTTCTCCTGCTGCCAAAAATTTCTGAATCCGTGGGGAGCTACGTGGGCCAGATACTGTGGCCCTATGCACTAAAGCAGGCGTGTGGGGCTGGGGGGTGCAGAGCCTGATCTGGGTGGCATGGAGCCCAATCTGGGCAGTGTGGGGAGGGATCAGTGTGTGCAGGGCCCAATCCAAGTGGTGCGGGGCAGGATCCAGGCAGCACAGGATAGGATCTGGGAGCACCAGGTGGGATCCAGGGGTGCGAGGCCTGATCTGAGCAGTGAAAGGATCCCTCTAGGCACTGACTGCTGGCCCCAAACCACTCATCTGGCTCGTGGGGCTGAAAGGTTGAGCACGACTGCTAGACTT